GCAGCTTTTACCGCATTGTAGACATGTTGCGAAAAAACCGTGGCCTTCACGATACTGGTATTATTAAAGATGAAGCTCAAACCTTCCATTGGGTTGATTTCTGGGATCAACTGCCGCGATAAGCAGTGTTTGTTGCGTGAGCCCCAACGCTACCAGCCAATCGTGAAATTACCGGCCATGAGGCAGACTGAAGCGAAAGCTTAACGTACCACAATGCCCGACACCGTCCGTCCAGCCCACGGACCACGGCGGCACGCTTTTTTCCCTCTTTGATGACCGGGTTCGCAACGGACGTTTTGAACTGGTTTATTTCTGGCAAAAACATCATGTATGAATCCTAGTTTACCCCAAATATCGTATACTTTAGGGCCATTGCCACCGACAAACAGCTCATAGACATCGCTTTACGCTCTCTTTTCAATCCCAACTTCATAATACAATCAACTTTATACATATTCACCTACATCCATTTTGTGCCTCTAAACCTTAAGACTTTTCAAGCCCTACCCGAGCGCGTGTTAAATTTTGATCTGTCGAGAACGTGCGTGTAAGATGGTTGTAATACACACGTAGATTCTGGACAGTGCATTTTTTAAATGCATTGACAAATAGTTGACAGCTTACATACGTACACAATGACATATATGATTATATATATATATATATATATATATAATATATATATATATGATATGTGTGTGTGTGTGGTGTGTGTGTGTGTGTGGTGTGTGTGTGTGGTGTGTGTGTGTGTGTGTGTGTGTGTGTGTGTGTGTGTGTGTGTGTGTGTGTGTGTGCTTGCGTGCGTGCGTGCGTGCGTGCGTGGCTGCGTGCGTGCGTGATGTCGTGCGTGCGTGCGTGTGTGTGTGTGTGAACATAGAAGGTGGATGAATCCGAGAAGTTTGCCGTGGCTTTTCACCTAGATCTTGATGTTTGAAGTTCTCGAAGTTCTTTGAAATCTTTGAAATACTCTTTCGGGGACTTCCGCGTCTTTGTGCCCCCCGCCCCACTCATTGTTGAAGAAATCGGCAGCAGTCATACGTCCACATGCTCTATCTTGCAGTTCACATGCCGCCGCGGGTGTGACACTACACTACTGCATCACACCGCCGCCGCGGGTGTCACACATACACTACGGGCATTCCCCGCCGCCGCGGGTGGTCACATATACACTACGGCATTCACCGCCGCCGCGTGTGTCACACATGCACTACGGCATTCACCGCCGCCGCGGGTGTCACACATGCACTACGACGGCATTCACCGCCGCCGCGCGGTGTCACACATGCACTACGGCATTCACCGCCGCCGCAGGTGTCACATATACACTACGGCATTCACCGCCGCCGCGGGTGTGACACATACACTACTGCATTCTTCGCCGCCACGGGTGTCACCGCGCACAGTAGCCCGGTATGACGTCTGCACGGGGGTGAGAGGGGGGAGGGGGTGCCGGTCAGGGCTGCCGCCGAAGGGCGGCCGGGCCAGGTCAAGGAACCTCGGCGCGTGTTACAGCTGCACCCGTGTTCACGCCTTTTCATTCTTCTTCTGGGCAATAATGCGTATTGTTCAGGAGCGGTCTTGCACACCCCACGTGCCGTGTTTTATGCGGTCGCCCCACTTGTTACACGGCGTTGGGGCGCCAGTTCCTGCCGCGGTGGGTGCCGTCCGCGGCTTTCCCCGTGGTCGCCAGCCCGTGTGGCGAGGTCGGTGGCGGGGGGGGGGACGGATGTCCGCCGTCGTCTGACGTCAATGGCCGAGCAGGAAATCCTGCCTGTTGCCCGCACGCGTCCGGCGTGGCGCTCCTCCACCGCGTCCTGCCTTTCCAAGTATTGCCCAGAGACCGAGCGGAGCCAGGCGGTCGCGGCTGGTTATTCGCTGAGCATGGCCATGTCACGTGAGGTGGTGGGTCGCGGTCCAGGGTGTGAGGGGCCATGCCGCATGTGAAGCTCGACCTCGACCATCCGACCGGGCTCCTGATGCCAGTCAGGCTGATGTCCCGGCAAGGATGAAAAATGCCTTTTTTTTTGTCACCAATGGAATTTGGAAGCGCTGAATTGTCACCTGGAGCCAAATTTATCAGAATCGTTTCCAATACAACTCTAATTTATGAACCACAAAACAAACAAATTTAAGTGCCATGCAGCACAACCATCAAACATTTCGTTTGGCGATTTCATTTTCACTAAAGTAGCACTTGTGGCATCAAACACTGAATGATGTTAAGACAAACCAGCTTAGAGTTGTGATGATGATGATTTAGGGCGCATAGACATCGAAGGTCAAATCACGTAATATCGGCCTAGAGGTGTGTGGTTTGCTTTTCAGTTGGGGAGGGGCTGCCTCTCCTAAACCAGAGATGTAGTGTCCTCTTTTATCCCATCATTTGTATTTCTCATTTTTTCATCACCTTTTTTATGGTTCTATAGCCCCACCAACTTATTCTGAGAAACTATGCCCCTCCTCAAATTCCAAAAAGAAAGTTCGTCAAATCGGGGAAAGGATTGTTTTAAGTGGATTTCGGACGTAAGGCCACATTTTTCCTCCCTGCACCCCACCCCTGTCTTGTCACCTGTTCATTCGCGCCTTCTCAATTCCGGATTCACACGCACGACGCTCCACAGTTGACGTCTGTATTTGAACTGCACCACCGGAGTCCAACGGAATCGCGTCAAGGTACACCGTGGCGCACAAGGCACGATAGCGATGTGGGGGAACTGGCTCCTAAATTGAGGACGCTATACATTTTACCTGGGACATCACATGACAGCCCCCTCCCTCACCCCTACGTATTTTGCAAATATGCATCCTTTTGGCTGTTCATCTGCCGATAATCTGATTCTACAAGCACCTGAAAATATCACTGCTGGTTTTGTGACACCATTGTACAATCAGCAGGAAGCGTTGGCGAGCTTTACTATCTTTGCATAATCACTGGTATCACTGGTACAGGCCTCTCAACTTCCTACGTGATCCCGAGCCAACTAGTGCAAACCCGCGCAAAACTGGTCTGAGCAGGTGCAAACGGAATTTTTTGATACCTCTGGCGCCTTCATTTAGCTCTAAATGATGACAATTGAAAGCGTTTTATCTCACGCCTGTCTACCGCTCAGAACGCTAAGTCCGAGGTGCGACGGAGTGTGAGAGGTCTTCACCAGCGATGCTCGGCATTTTATCTCAAAGCCGTTCTTCCACGCAGCAGCAAGATTTCCTGAATGAATCCTTGATATGTGTCGTTCCAACGTCCTTCGTTGGCCTCTGAAGCCACCGTTCGGCTATCAGCAAACGACGAGCCTCATAGGTCGGCAGGACATTTTCACGCCGTTACCCGGTGACGCCCTCCATGGTGAATCTTAAAGCCGCACAGCGCCTTAAAAAAACTGACGATTGGCTACGTTCTTCAAGCTTCTCAGCTTCTTACACGAACACAACCAACGGCAGCCCACAGCCTCGCGCTGAACCCAAATCATTACTGTGTGGCGAACATTGAAGCCATGCGCGACGCTTTAAAACGCTGCCTGGCAGTCTGATCACGTCCTCGCAAGGTGCTGCGGCCAGCCACCATTCTCACGACTAGTAATAAGCCTAGTTATCTGGTATATTGCCCTGTGTAGCATGTGAAGCGAATGTTGGCCGACAAAAAATCCGTGAAAGGACTGATCTGAGGGGCATTGGAAAAACACTGTGTCACCACTGACCCGTGACGTCAGCAGTGAAGTATAATTTTCTAGTATATGTCTGTCATCCACTTACAACTATCCTGATTAAAGCTTCTATCTTGTGGCTCAACTTGCTCATACAGCGAAACGTCAACGTTTCGACATGCGCTCTGCACAACCCCACGCTGCGAGCGTTAGCGAATGCAAACTAGTACTAAGTTTTGGGCTTCATCTAGCTAGGATGGTCTGCTGTAATATGGTCTGGTTGGTTGTATTGTTTCCATTGTCGCGATTGTCACCAGTCTACTCACAAAATTGTCCATTTTTGTTACCAGTGGTATCCGGTAAATGAGAAGATTTTTCACCCTTGTATTTTGGTCCCTATGCATTGGTTGGAAGTGATTTGTTGTGTTCCTGGACGTCAAGGCGCGCATTGCCCCTTCCGGTCGTGGTACAGCATAACGCACATAACTATCGGTGACTATATGCGCTATACAACGTGGTCTCCTACTCCATGTGGTGTACGGTGCACACCTCATGGGAGATGGGCGCGCTCCGCAACTCCCTGCAGCACCAGCATCTTATGCCAACGCCGCCCAGCCGCAGCCCGCGCGCCAGACGGCAGCAGCTGGCTCGGCCGGAGCCGTCCGCAGCGCGGCGTCAGCCCTCGCCGGCGGAAGTTGCAGGATAGCCGGCGTCGGCGGTGATGGTGGCCGACCCCACGGGCCATGCCACCGCAGCCGCCGGCGGGCCCGCGCCTCGCCAGTAATCTCACGCAATCGCCGCTACGGGTTTATTGCTTCCGATGTTTGACGGTTATCGACGTCCAGTCCTGGGAGGAAGCGGACCTCGTGATTGCCTCGGGTTTTCCAGAGAGAGTGCTTGGGGGCCAGGAATCGATTCGTCCTCGTTTGTTTGTTCTTGGAACGTGAGTGATGCAAGTCCACCAACTCTTATGAGCAATTGACCTCTCGTGCAGCCCTGTAATTAGTGATATCTCTCAGTTTTCCCGCATACGCGTCTGGAGTCCCGCTTCGATCACGGATATAGCAAGCAAACCGCAGGGGCCTGTGCTGCCTACTGCTCTAGCAACTTGACATGTTTGGCGGGCCAGACACGTGCCCCGACTTTCAATGATGGGTGACGGGTCCCGCAGGTACTCCCTCCACCCACCATAACGAGATCCAGAACGAGTTTTCGGGGATCATCTCGGGGATTCCGGCACACGTCTGCCAGTTGCTGATGGCGATGTCGGGGTTGGCAGTTTGGTTGCACGTATCTCCGGGACTAGGTGATGGAAGCACCTCATCCACAACTTCCAACTGGCCGTGCTTCGGCGGTAATATGCCTGGTGAGCGAACCTGCACATCCTGGTAGACGGGATACATTATTGAATTTGAAATTGTAATCAATGACACCGCTCGAACCGCTTCGATAATGCTGCAAAATACTTCTAAAATGACCGGAGTAGTTTAGAAAGCCTCTGTGCTGACACAAAACCGTCGTCAGCGGTACGCGGTCTGCTCTCACGCAGGGGTCTTACGCGCATAGTGACGCACGCCCAGGCACGAGAGAGCCTCGGCTGGTGGGGTCCCCCCAGGCGCGAGACAGCCGCGCCTGGTGGATCCCGCCCCAGGCGCGAGAGAGGCTTGGACTGTCGCTCTCGGCGCTGTCAGCCGCGCGTCCCAGCGGCGAAAGGCGGACCAATATGTGCAGGCCTGCGAACACCCCGGGTCTGTCGTCCGCTCTGCAGCGAGCATCACGTGATCGCCGCGGGCCGAGTGCGTCACTCCGCTCGAGCGGTGGAACGTCCGCGCCACTGTGACTCAGCTGTGTAGGCAGCAGCCTTGGGTAGGAGCGAGGCTGGTCCGATACAGTGCTGTCAGCGGCCAGTGAAGGCGCCTGCTGCAGCGTGGTGATTGGTGAAAGCTGCGCGCTTCAGTGCTGTGTTCTGTGAAGCTGCCTATGCTGGCGTGGGGTAATTGAGGTGTCGTGGAGAAGGGGGGAGGGCTGTTCCCAATTTTATAAGCACTTAAAATTTGGCTGAAAGGTATTGACTGGAAATCAATAACCAAAAATGGCTGCCCCCCAGCTTGAGAGGACTTCCGTCGTCTCTGACTTCAAGTTGCACGCGTGGGATGTCTGGGATCAGAAGAGGGCTTGCAACTTGCTTGCTTGGGCGGCTTGCACCGAGGCCGACGTGAGGCTTATCTCGTTTCAACTGTGACTGCTGGCTTTTGATGTCTAGGTCATGTAGCTTCTTGTATGTGTGGTGTTGTGTACGAAAGTACGTCTCGTCGGCGACGTTTTTTATTTTCCCCGCGGCGAATCAAACGTCTTTCCTTCCTCCTCTGTCCCTAGCGTTGTCCTATGCAACTTCTGTTCCTGGCGTTGGCTTACTCTCTGTCCCTGGAGTTGGCCTACGGACCCTCTGTCCCTGGCGTTGTGTCAGCCTACAGTCCCCTTGCCCCCAGCAGTGCCGGCCTTCGGTCTCTCCGTCCCCAGTGTCGGCCTTTGGTCCCTCCGTCCCTGCGTCGGCCTTCGGTCCCTCCGTCCCCAGCGTCGGCCTTCGGTCCCTCCGTCCGCAGCGTCGGCCTTCGGTCCCTCCATCCCCTGTGTCGGCCTTCGGTCTCTCTCCATCCCTGTGTCGGCCTTCGGTCCCTCCGTCCCCAGTGTCGGCCTTCGGTCCCTCCGTCCCCTGTGTCGGCCTTCGGTCCCTCCGTCCGCAGCGTCGGCCTTCGGTCCCTCCGTCCCCTGTGTCGGCCTTCGGTCCCTCCGTCCCCTGTGTCGGCCTTCGGTCCCTCCGTCCACTGTGTCGGCCTTCCGGTCCCTTCCGTCCCCTGTGTCGGCCTTCGGTCCCTCCGTCCCCAGTGTCGGCCTTCGGTCCCTCCGTCCCCTGTGTCGACCTTCGGTCCCTCCGTCCCCAGCGTCGGCCTTCGGTCCGTCCGTCCCCTGTGTCGGCCTTCGGTCCCTCCGTCCCCTGTGTCGGCCTTCGGTCCCTCCGTCCCCTGTGTCAGCCTTCGGTCCCTCCGTCCCTGTGTCAGCTGACCGTCCCTCTTGTCGGCAGTGCGGGTGCGCCAGTGTCGACAGCGGCTGGGCTTTCTTCGGCGGAGGCGCAGCGACAACAGCATTTCGGTGCGACCGGACCGGGCGCAGGCCCAGCAGTGGGCCACCTCCTTCCTCAACCTGATCAACTCCAAATGTGAGTACAGCGGGGTGCGGAGTCGCAGCTGTCCGCACGCCCGTGTGCTTCGACCGGCACTCGACAACGTCCCCACGCGTCTTCCGCGGCGGCGTGGCTCTCGCTGCGGGCACTGAACTCTTGCTCATCTCCGAGTGTGTACCGCACCCAGGCATTGGCTGCAGTGTGCCGGCCTGCCGCACGCAGGCCCGATACCTTAGCAGACTAGCCCGGTCGGATAACATGCTGGCGCGTAGAAAGTCGCGCTTGGCCTGGGCGCAGTAAACCTCAACCGGGTTTCTCAGACGCCGACATTCTTCTGTGAGGTCGGTCTCCCACCGTACCCTCGCCATGACCGGTACGCGTGGTCGCGCTCCCGCGTCACACACACCAGACCGGGATTCGCCTCAATCCAGGGGCAACGTGGACGGCGGAGTGTCGCTGTTTCCAGAGGAACAGTGCACATCAATGGCCTTTGACCAGACGCATATGAACTCCAGCTCCTCCGCCGCACTTACGGCCCGGTACAACGGGTCCCAGTCTGCCTGCAACAAAGGCAGACTGGACGCGCCTCAGCAGATATCACGCCAGGGGCAAGCACGAAAAGAAACAGGATGTGAGTGCTGCCACCTGAACGGGGCACGAGGGATGGTGGCGAGATGGTCTGCAGTCGGCGCTGGCGGCACCAGACCGGTGTCCTCCAGTTTAGGCATGCTGGTAATGACGTGGTGCAGGAGAGTCGCTGTCGGCTCAAGATGGGTAGGTGTGTCAAAAAACCGCACGAGACCCAGATCTTTTAAAAGAGACAAGTAGACGCGCACAGCTGGATTGTCGGGACGCATGAAGTCAATGTTAAAATCACCGAAACAAATCACGCGTCTCCCAATGGCACCAGCCGCTCCTGGTTGGTCCTGTGCCTCGCCAAGGCCGCCTGATGTCGGATCGGACGGAGGACGACAGACAACGCCCACAGTGGCCGGGAGATGTCGGCCGCCACTCCGGCGCTGAGTGGCGGCCGACATCTCCCGCGGTGGCCGGGAGATGTCGGCCGGCACTCAGCGACACCACAACGACTCGCATACTGCACTTGGCACTGGAGATGGGTGACAACCCCCGCAGCGCCGGGTCGGGCGGTCCCTGCGCACCAGCCGGTAGCCGGGAAACACTAAGATCCTGGCCGTGACTGGGTCAGTCAGCCACGTCTCGGTTATGCACGTGACGTCCAGGTCATGGGCGCCTACGGTCTGAAGCACACAGTCCATTCCCAGGACTGACGACCGGACATCTGCGTGGATGATCGACAGCGTGCCGGCTGGCCTGGCAGAACTGGTGCGGGAGGTGCGTGCTGACTGCAGGGTCTGCCCGATGGTCGGGCGGGCCAGCACCGAGAGCGTCCGGGGCCGAGGCGTGACACAGCGCGACGGCACCCAAGAAGCCGATGATGGCTCACGGGTGGCGGACAACGTGCGACAGTCAGCGTCCGCCGACAGTCGCACTGTCGCACTGTCGTCCGCCGTGTGGGAGTGTCGCAGCCGTTCTCGCCGTCCGGCTCTTCATCCCCCCGTTCGCGCGCGGCTCCAGTACGACAGAACCACTGGTGGCTCATCCGACCCAGCTGGCCACGACCTGAATCTGCCTATGGTCTGCCAGGCGGACCGCAGCTGTGACCTCGCATCACGGCCCAGCGCCAGGTCAAGGCCACGTGGTCGCGATGGGATCCGGCAGAGTGCAGCAGCGTAGCTGCATCTGAACGCTGGCTGGTTGTAGACATCCTCACATCTCTTCCAGAATCGGTAGAACGGTAGAGCGAGCGGCTAGGCGTCACCCATCCCATGGAAGCTGACATTTGGACAGCACCAACAGCCGACACAAAGGCAGTTAAAAAACGGCTCTGCCGTCAGCTCTGTCGACCCTGAAGCCGAGTGCGAAAATCCAGTGCAACACATCACACTCCATTGTGTCTACAAATACAATGGAAAATGCGGCCGGTGGATAGTCAAGTACCAACGATGTGCGATGCCTGTGTGCAGTCTGTCAAAGGAAATGTTCCACATTTGAATGTATTGAGGCAAGCATCAGATATGATGAAATGCGCTCAATGAAGGGGCTTATTATTGAGGGGAATCGAGCGGAAATGTATCAAGAAAAAAGCTGCTTGAGAGAGCCAAATTGCTCTATTAAGTAAACATGCTTTTTTATATGTAATTGTTTTATCGCGTCATGGAACGTTTGTATGCGGCACACACGTGTAGTTTTTCAATCTCCCGAGAAATGGCCGCGACGCTGTTGGATTTAAGTTGAACCAAATATCCTTAGCTGCTGGTGTTTTGGCACTTTCTCGCGATGTTCTTGCATATTTACCGGTGATGCTAAGGCGCTTTCCTGCATCCACATACTCGGTTATAAGGCTATTCTCAAGTTATTTCATAACAAGTCTTATTCTCGTAATAACTGGGCAGAATTTATCACTTCTTGTATTATAAAACACAAAACGTAATGCGTGTCAGGATTTTGCATAGCTTGTGCAACATTGTTTGGGAGCCAATCGAGGGCCGTTATGTCTGCAAATCGTGCTCACGAACGCCAGCTGTGAACGACTTGACACTTACGTTTATCTTAACCTTGGATGCCACATGGCCGTGGCATGACAGGATTTGAATAATGTTATTATGGCGTCATGGATGCCAAGGAAACCTTGAAATAGTCTGAACGAAATAGTCTGAACATCTTCGCGGGCGTGTAGCTCAGAAACCAGTATTTTAGGTCTGAAGAGGGGCAGGGCTGTGAACTGCACCGAATGATCTTCAGGATGGTTTGTCAGCTCAAAAGCCCATCCAAATGTGGAACACTCCCTGTAAGCTACACAGGTCGATTTTTGTGTTGCTTAATGTGCACACCTGTTGCAGATGGAGTGGCGTTGTTCAAAGGATTCCTGTCACAAGAGTTTGCTGATGAAAATCTGGAATTCTGGCTTGCCGTTGAGGATTTCAAGAAAACGCGACACTGCAAGTTACCAGCCAGGGCTCAACAAATCTATAATGAGTTCCTGGCTGCACAGGCTCCGAAAGAGGTGAATGTCTGATTACTCAGGTTCTGTGAGAGGTGAGTGTCTGGCTGCACAGAAGTCGGGGGAGGTGGGTGTCTGGCTGCACAGGCACTGGGGGAGGTGGGTATCTGGATGTACAGGCGCCGGGAGAGGTGAGTGTCTGGCGGTACAGGCGCCGGGAGAGGTGAGTGTCTGGCGGTACAGGCGCCGGGAGAGGTGAGTGTCTCGCTGCACAGGCTCGGAGAGGTGATTGTCTGGCTACTCCGGCCCTGAGAGAGGTGAATGCTTGGCTGCTCAGGCTTTGAGAGAGGCGATCGTTATCGGGCGCTATACTGGTTGTAGCAGTGGAGCGTGCCAGCACTGGTTCCAGACTGGTCGTAAACGGATCTCGTATCCGCAAATTGGCTTTGCGGTACTTGTCTGCTCGTCGGTTCATTTAAGTTTAAAACATTGCATTCAGATGAAAGGTCTCCTTAAATATAGCACGAAACGTCTTAAAGTAATTACTTATGGAAAGTTGCAACAGGTAGGTGAAGCTGCAACAAGATGGATGAGTGAGATTCCAGCGAAATGCTTTGATTCGTTTAGGGATATGCCCATTGCTGTGTACTTGGGTCGCAATCGGTGTCCGAGTTTCTCCTGTGTGCCCGTTGTTGCCAGTCATAAGTGTCGGCCGATGCCGTCCTACTGCGGTATCTCGGGATGGCGCAGACGTGTGAAATTAAGTACGCACACTCCCGCTGGTTCACGGCTCGGAAGTGCGGACCTAACTGACGTCTGTTCCTTCCCCTCAGATCAACATCGACTCGTCCACACGGGCGGTGATCGGTAAGCGGCTGTCGGACCCGGATGTGCAAATGTTCGACGCGGCTCAGCGGCGTGTGCAGCACCTGATGGAGAGCGACATCTTCCCACGCTTCCTCCAGTCAGAGATGTATCAGGAGCTGTTACGCGACGAGCACTCGAAAGCCCGGGCGCGCAGGTAGCCCGGCCGGCCGGCCGACGCCACTTCAGGCTGTGAGGGGAGGCTTGTGCGCCGGGTCGCTGCAGGGCGTGCGCTATCTCTCCGGACGGGGAGCACATATCACAGGAGAGGCCTGACGGTTCTCGACGCGTCGGCGGCGGCGCTTCGACTGGGCGGCTGCGGCGGCGCCTTCGACCCAGTTCAGAACAGACCACGCTGGGATCTGCGGCTCGCGGAGGGAGTCCATGGCGCCACCTGCACCGTCCCGGCTCACTCGGTTCGCGCCCCGCTTTGGCCAACGGCTCCCCTGAGTCCAACATCAGTGCGCGTCGTTCAGCGAACTCCTGTTTGGAGCGAGCCGAGCGCCGCGAGCCGTTGTGTCGCTTTGGTCAACACCTGCCGCCGGCCGACCGAGACAGGCGCTGCTGGTGCGTACAAGAAACCAGAGGCTTTCGGAAGTTGTCTGGCGTCATATACTTCTACGAGTGTCGCTACCAACTGAGCGTTTTCATTCGATCAAAGATTAGAGTACGAAGTAGCATTGTTGCCGGTCATTTTTTGCTGTGGTAGAGATAGAAGGACCATATGACAACCGCAGACGGAACTCATTAATTTAGCTCAGATGCTGTGGGCTGACGTTACGGCTGGAATGACATCCTCTGTTTTTGATGTGGGTGGGCAGGGCTGGCTCCGACAGTCGGTCATGTGGATCTGATCGACTGTTAGGAAGGTTCAGTGTCAGTGGCTAGCATGTCACACAGAAACTGGAGTGCGTTCAGCGTGTTGACTTCGATGCCTGTTGGTGGTTGGTGAGATACCCAGTGCATGCCCGTTAGATGAGCCAGTGGTTTGAGGTTTGAGAATCCGGGGTATGATGCACTGCTCGCGTCCGTCTCGGGAGCCAGTGGGATGTGTTCGTTCATGTATGCATGCAGGGTCAGCGATCTCGTGCACTGTTACCGCCTGGATGCAGTCAGGGAGCTGGAGCACGGTTTCTACTTGCTTAGAGAGTCAGTGATCCAGCGTCCAATTTCCAGCTGTTTGGAGAGCCAGTAATGTGGCACAGAACGCCCACTTGCATGGCGAGGGACCGACGTAGCGCATCATTTCCACCCCTGTGGAGAGTCCGGTGCCACCTGTTTTGGGCGTGAGCGGTCCGACGCACATTGCCCGCCCGTGTGGAGGTCAGGGATCGGATAGCCGGAGGACGCTGGTCGCTGCACCGGGGGGGGGGGGGGGGGCTCGGACATGACCGGGTGTCCGACGTGTCCACACGTCCCATGAGGCCGTCGTTGATTGGGTTCGGTACGTCTGTGGTGGCTGCTCCAGGCTGGCGGCCCCGGGCTGTGCCAGAGTGCGCCGATGTTTTTCTGGTGGGTAGCTGATCTGATATTACCTAGACTTAATACATGCAGAAGCTCGTGTGAACTCGGTTGCAAAGCAGAACCGCTCAAACGTCGCGGGCGCTGAGGTCCATAACACGACGCGTCTACCCAGCTGCACTGTCCGCCGCAGCCGGCCCGCGGTGCTGCCACAACACACACAGTGACGTCCCCCACTGGCTCACGCCGCGCCGTGTGAGCGTCAGCGGGCGGCACTTCGGGTATTCAGTGGCCCCAGCTGCCGAATCCCGCCTGCCCTAAACAGAGCACGGTTTACTGTTGGACCCAACGCCCCTGTGGCGACGTCAGATGGTGTTAGGCCGAGCCGCCAGGCGCCGCCACGGGCCGCACGGGAAGCTCCAGAACAAAAGATCGTAAGGAAAAGAACGTGTGCATGTAGTGCGCACGCGATTGTTCGTGAGCACGGGCACGTAATGGATAACATACGTATGACGAAGGTAGGCAATTAAAAAATCATAGGCAAAGGTGTGCACCCACAACTTCGTAGGCAAGGCATGGACTGTAAGCATGGATCGTTTAGGGCTAAATTTTCTGAACAGTTCTCTTATGGGAGTGTAGCAGGGCAGATCGACCACAAGGGTACCAAATTCTGCATCATCATTTCGTAAATTTCCCTGAAATACGGTCTTCGCGGGATGATCCAACTCGTAGGTTTCGACTGTGGAATCATTAGCTTATTCTGGCGCATAACAAAAAACTATACCGTTGGACGATGTTTGGTCAGTGCAAAGAAGGTCCTGACCAATGTGTGTACAGCAGGGATGGTACAGCGGTGGCATCTTTCTCTTTGGCCTTCAAGTTAGTTGGCTACTTCAGAAAAGCGACTATATGCTGGGTGGCACGCGCGTGTCCACCAGTCATATTTCACAAGCCAGGTAGGTGACTGGCCAAGGCCGTCATCTTGTATCAGTGGCGGGCTCATAACGCATTAAGCGGGAGTCGTCGACAGACTCGTCGTCAAGGAGGGAAAAAGAAGGGAACACAACAAAGAACGCAGCAGATCTTAATCACCGGTACCATGCAGAAGGACGCCGACCGGCTTGGCCTGGCTCCCCAGCGGAACGCTGCCAGGCTCGATCCGGCCGCTCACACGGCACGCGGCTGGAGCTGCCGGTTGGCGAGTTCGGCCGGAGGCGGTCGGTTGGCGAGTACGGCCGGAGACGGTCGGTTGGCGAGTTCGGCCGGAGACGGTCGGTTGGCGAGTACGGCCGGAGACGGTCGGTTGGCGAGTTCGGCCGGAGACGGTCGGTTGGCGAGTACAGCCGGAGACGGTCGGTTGACAGGTTGGGCCGCAGACAGTCGGTTGGCGAGTACGGCCGGAGATCGTCGGTTGGCGAGGACGGCCGGGGACAGTCGGTTGGCGAGCACGGCCGGAGACGGTCGGTTGGCGAGTTTGGCCGGAGACGGTCGGTTGGCGAGTACGGCCGGAGACGGTCGGTTGGCGAGTACGGCCAGGGACGGTCGGTTGGCGAGTACGGCTGGAGACAGTCGGTTGGCGAGTACGGCTGGAGACGGTCGGTTGGCGAGTACGGCCGGAGACAGTCGGTTGGCGAGTACGGCCAGGGACGGTCGGTTGGCGAGTACGGCCGGAGACGGTCGGTTGGCGAGTACGGCCAGGGACGGTCGGTTGGCGAGTACGGCCAGGGACGGTCGGTTGGCGAGTACGGCCAGGGACGGTCGGTTGGCGAGTACGGCCGGAGACGGTCGGTTGGCGAGTACGGCCAGGGACGGTCGGTTGGCGAGTACGGCCGGAGACGGTCGGTTGGCGAGTACGGCCAGGGACGGTCGGTTGGCGAGTACGGCCAGGGACGGTCGGTTGGCGAGTACGGCCGGAGACGGTCGGTTGGCGAGTACGGCCAGGGACGGTCGGTTGGCGAGTACGGCCGGAGACGGTCGTGTCTGGGATAGCGGCCGGGCCCATCCGGTCCAGGCCGCTGTGTGTTAGCTGTCCGAGCGTGAGTGCCACTGAAGCCGTGGCCGAAGTGGCCGCACTCCCGGCCATGATCCGGGTTGCTGCTGCTGGGTACAGGTTGGATGCCCTGTTCATGTTTTGGGCGTGGTTTGAATGAGATTACACATGCCATCATAATCACATCTTTCAAGATAACCGATCTGTCCGCATTTTGATCGATGCCGTCAAAGCTTTCGGAAGTCAGGATTAGAAGTAAATGGGGGAAAAGAGTCACGTGGTACATCTTGGTAAACCGACAGGAACTTTCAGACTGATGCGTATTTCCATCCGGCGGATAGCATAAACATCCTGGGCGCTGGTTTAGCGCCACGCATAATTGTCAGAGAGGTGATCATTGGAGATTATAAAATTAACTTTAAATACCCGGCATCAAAGCAATCTTTCTTAAGGCCAAATCACAGTCGCAAGGTACTTACATATATGGCGGCTGACGCGCATGACATGCACGCAGGTTAAACGAGCCATCTTGCATTTGATTTCAAACCACACGATGGATTTCTGTGTGACGGACCTAATAAACATGCAGGTAGTCAAAACCCGAGTATTTAAGACAGGAGAGTCTTCATGCATGGACGCCTGTTGTGAAACGGGGGGGGGGGGGGGGGTAGCTGGCTGTAAGCAAACGCGCCAGTGGATTCAATTGGTTTCGCAACCCCGCATCTCAAGGTCTTCTGATTCGGACCACCCGCGTTCATCCGGCAAACGCACGCTTGGTGCCTTGTCCACCTCGGCCAGCGCCTCTCAGCGCGGGCGGTCGTGACCACCTCGGCCAGCGCCGCTCAGCGCGGGGTTGTCGTGACCACCTCAGCCAGCGCCACTCCGCGCGGGGTATCGTGACCATCTCGGCCAGCGCCGCTCAGTGACCAGGTGACGGGAGCAGGTAACCTGAGGTCACCTGCTTCTGAACGGCCAGATTTCGTGTTCTCGCTTTCGATCGGTGTTAATTTGGAGAGAAGCGGTAAAGCGGTCCGAGTTTAGACTTGGCTACACAGATGGCGGCAAAAAAATATTGGCGGGTTGTCCTATCCTTGGCTCAACAGTACACACACAGCACACGCACGCGAGCGATCAGTATGTAGTGCTCGAGTTAACAGTTGAGGCCCTGACGATACGCACCGAAATAGTACCTCTAAAAAGTTCCTCCTTTACGACCAGTAAGATTGGTCTGCGATTGTACAAGCGTAAAATGACCCCGTATGAGACGAGTAAAATGCGTGGTGAGGCTTGAACTTTCGCATTTTGAAACACCTAGTAGCGAGAAATATCTCGGTTATCCTGATTATCTAGTAGCCTAAAGAAATAGATCATCCATACGTGCGCACAATTACACGGCTGTCATTGGCTAGCGGACCTCAGCTTGACTTGCGCCGATACACAAAGGACAGAGCATGGAACGAACCTTAACAGGGTGCCATGCAGCTGACAAACTAGATACACTCACCTGCGTACCGCGCACGGACCGGAATAACGTCGAACCAAAGAAGGATACGATGCAACTACCCATCTCAACACGCTCACCTGTACGCCACATGCCATACGCAGACTGGGATACCGCCATACGAGTTTTCCTCATGTCGTGTCTAAACTTATGACCTGTCCTACTGCCAGACGCGGGGCATGCGCTTCGCCAACGGTGAAGATGACCGGGCTCCGATTTATCGGTCAAGCCATGCGTGGCCAGCGCAGAAGGACGCTGAGGAACATGTTTTCTGGATTTACTTGACAAAACAGCGCGATATAGCTGAGACCACCTCCATCACAATCTGAGAGTTGTGTCCGTTAGCACATTCCTTGAAGTACTCCTTTCACATCAGCATCGGATCTCGACCGTGCTTCATTCCTATGATGGGTTCTAAAAGTATAAACGGCGGTGTTCACAGATACCTGAGGCGATATAACGTGTATTTAGGTGAGGGCGATTAGCGAAACACTTCAACTCTGTTACCAGACAAGATTACCGAGTGGAGCACTACGTCTGGCTGATTTCCCTCGGTCCATATCAAACAAGCCTCTCACGCGCAGCACACACAGGCAAGCGGCAACAGCAAAGCACGCAGATCCGAGACTGGTTGTGAAAATAAGTTCAACCAATGCCGCGCGAAGCAGTAACAACAGGGGGCGGGGACGGCGGCCTTCTCGGAGAACACAGCTCCGAACCTGACCTGGCCTGACCCGCCGGCCTTAACAACCGACCCCCTCAGCTCGGCAGACTGCAGCACGGCGCGCACTGAGGAACCCCGACAAGCAGCAAGACCAGACGTTTCACCCGTACAGATCGGACGCGCGCCCACGCTCGTCCACCATGTCGCGGCAGCCGCCGCCTCTGCTGGAGACAGCAGGGGTGACAGTACAACAAGAAGACACGCCTAGGCCCTCACCGTGCGGCGGCGACGGCGGCGGACGCGCAAGGCACTCAGGCACTCGTGTAACAGCCGTTTGCGCAGCAGCGGAGGCGCAGGCAGCAGAGGAACTTCAGCGAGACGCCCACCTACCGGCTGGCGTCCAAGCGATGCGAGGCAGCAGCCTTGGGTCCGCGGCGCCGCCAGGCGGCGGCGGACGGCGCGCCGTTCCCGTCAGTGGCGGGCGCGCGGCAGCGTGCCGCCGCGCCCGTTCCGCTTGGCCGGCCCGGCGGACGCCGCGACGCCGCTCCGTCGCCGCAAGATGGGCGTGGTCAGCACATGCAACAGGCTGCGCCGCGGCCTGCCGCCCGTCGGCATACACGGAAAGGAGAGAGAAAGAGACAGCCGTGAACCGACAGGCCAGGCGACGCCGGCGGCGCCAGGCGAGCGTGCGCGCTACTACAGTGCGCCGAGACGACAGGCAGCCGCTGAGACGACCGGCAGCCGCTAAGAGCGACCGGGATCTGTCGAGAGTGACCAACAGCCGCCGAGAGCGACTGGGATCTGTCGAGAGCGACCAACAGCGGCCGAGGGCGACTGGGATCTGTCGAGAGCGACCGGGATGTCGGGAGCGGCCAGCAGCCGCTGAGAGCATCCGACAACCGCGCGACGGACGGCGTCGCGCCGAGAGCGTCGCCGCCAACAGAACCGAGACACACACGACCCACCACCGGCCTTCGGCAGTCAGCAGCCACCGCCACCCAGGCGGCAAGCCAAGCACCCCACCCAAGCCACACACTCACCCACAGACGACCCATGCCTCGCCGGAGGATCACACAACACGCCGAAACCAGCCAGGACAGACCGTTACCGACTAGCACAGCCTAGGCGCTTGTGACGGAGAGCACTAGGGCGGCGGCCGACCATCGCCGCATGGCCGGCGCGCCGCCACTGGGAGGGAGAAAGCGTCGCTCCAGAGACAGCGGCGGCCCGGCACACGGCAAACGGAGCGTCCTCGGCTTAGCAGCCCGCCCCGCGCCAGCAGGCCACCCGGAGACGCAGCGACCGACGGCCACCTACGAGTCGAAGTGCTCTTCCGGCTCCAGGTCGAACCACTGGGTGGAGCCGGCCACCAGGTCCAGATCGCTCAGGTCGATGTGTTTCTGCCGGGAGCAGGACGGGTCACCGGTCGGCCGGCCGCCGCCCGGCCAGATGTGTGCGCGTTCGGCGCCACAGCCCCCTCCCTCCTCCTCCCCATCGGGCCGGCGCGTCCACCTCCAATATACGCCGGCCACCTAGTTTCTGTGATCTAACCTGCGTCGCACGACGGCGTCAGCCGCAACACAAGTGGATTTCGCGAAGAACTTTCATCGCCGCACACGACCGTCTACATCAGCATGCATCCGGTCAGCAATGCCACCACAACTTTTTCTAGTGTTACATACAATGGCAAAGGCAATAATACCGCTTCCAGCCTTCAAACAAAACAGCATAGAACCGTCGCAAGACCGAGCCCGACAGAGATGCGGACCACCAGATCTAAGCATCCAACAACGCTGCTCGGCCGATGCTCTGCTCGGGATTCCACCTGCAGCGTGGATAACAGGACAATCAAACTGGCTTAAAGATGTTGCACCTTACATGTAAATGCCCACTGTGTGACCCAATGCACAGCCCCGACCCGTGTTCAAGCCCCGTAGCCGTCGGGCGCCCGCTTACCATGCCAAGGATGGGGTTGCGAGCGAAGGTCTTCTTACTGACCACCTGAACCTCCAATGTGCGCACCCGGATCTCATTCAGCTGGCCGCGATACTCCAGCGCCTCGTCGTACACCGGGTCGCGGTTGTCTTTGAAGCTCTGTAGCAGCACGTGGGGCACTCAGGCGTCGCCACCGCACTATCCAGCTCGGGCAGCTGTACTATTGGCCGTCACTGGCAACTCGCAAGAAGTGGACCCCAACGCATTCGAAAGTTACCACTCGGGATAAATGAAGGGTCAAACTCGACAAAAGGCGCGATTGTCAGATTGAATGGTCCACACTGACAAAGCAGCGCTTTAAAGTGGGCCTCCAGCAATCATGCTTCCGACATGATCATTGCGAACACGTTCTGATCAGTGGCCCAAATCGCCAGCAGCAGACGGCCCTACCCGCCGGCCCTCCGGACTCGTGACCGGTACAGGGACGCTGAGCCGGCCCTCCGGACTCGTGACCGGTACAGGGACGCTGGGCCGACCCTCCGGACTCGTGACCGGTACAGGGACGCTGAGCCGGTCCTCCGGACTCGTGATTGGTACGGGGACGCTGAGCCGGCCCTCCGGACTCGTGACCGGTACATGGTCACTGAGTACAGAGTCCGGCAGACCGACCCGTCCCAGCCTGCAGCCGACGGCAGGCGGCGGCCGGCGCAGCCCTGGCGTCGCGTCCCACCGGCAACCGGCTCACCTGTGTTTTACGCTTGTTGTCCTCGGAGCGGTCAGGCAGCAGGTACGTCTTGACGTACGGATCGGGAATGTCGTCTCCCTGCATGGGCAGGCTCCTGCGGACCATCCACGGTGACATCATGGGACGAGCGTGAGTCACATCCCTAACACTTGGTGCACTCTGCTGTCACATGAGCCCAGATCCGCTCCGCGGTCTCCTGATCGAGACCAGGTGACGCCCAGCGTGCTGATGCGCACCGGGCCCGCAGAGGTGACCCGACTGCGCCCCTCTCGGCGGCGAGGCGCCCGGCCCGAGCTAGTCCAGGACGGCGGCGGCAGCCACTCACGATATTTTGTGGACGACGACCACCAGCGCCGAGCGGGTGTCACTGAAGCGCAGCGTCAGCTGGATACGGCCCAGACGGTGGGCGCCGGCCGGGCTGCCCACAAACCCTCTGTCAGCGCGTCACCACACACGGTGGTCCTCCAGACACACGACACGGCAGTCCCCAGATACACCGTGCGGTGGTCCGCCAAACACACGGCACGGTGATCCGCCAGGCACACGGCACGGTGGTCCGCAAGACACACGGCACGGTGGTCAGCCACACACGCGGCAAGGTGGCCCGCCAGACACGCAGCATAAAAAGGCACTTTTCGCTCAACCGATTAATTTTTTTTAACCCATCACGTGATGCCAAACCGATCCATCATAAAACACCACCGAATACTTGCACGCGCCACACATATGCTACGTTTCGCTGGCAACCGAAGCACGGAATAGGCTGTGTCTGACGGCAGTCCCTTACTTCTCTGGCTTGCGCTGTCGGAGTCCGGACTCTGCCTGCGCCGTGTCCGCTGACAGGTCCTGGATGAGCGTCTCGACGGCCTCCCGTGTCTGCCGGTGGGGGCAGCACGGTCTGTACAGTGCGTGGCAGACGTAGCGGCCCGCCCACTACAAATACCGCCCGGCCGTCTGAAGACGCCAGACTATTGCTCATTGACTGCTCGCAGTCGCTGAGGTACACAGGACACATGGGAAAGCCACAGCTACTGACGCAGCCTCCAGTGCGATTGCATTCGTAGCTGAGGGTGAAACTAAGTCAAGCTCCACTGGCGGTACAGTTTTCCCGCCTGTTGCACACTTCGGCAGGGCTGTGAGCTGACACGCCGCGCCTCCCAGCGTAGCACGGCATTACAAGGGCTGGCGCATCCCACTTGCAGCGAGTCAGGAGGCGTCGGCATTGGTCGCCATGCAGCCAGTCCTTCCCTACAGGCACAGCTCGCTCCCGCCGTCACGCTGGGTCGACGGTGCACCGTCCTGCACCACCGGCGCGGCGCACAAACCGGGCTCACCTGCGCCGGCACCGGCTCCGGCCTCGACTCCTTGCGGGCGGCGGGCGCTGGCCGGACCGGGCTGGGCGGACGCACCGGCTCGTCCGCCTTGGGCCTGCGGTGGAGATGCCGGCGGCGGAGAGGGCGGCGGCGGGGAGGCCGGCGGCGGGGAGGCCGGCTGAGTTGGCGGCGTCGCAGCCGGCTTCTCCCCTGGTGCCGCCGGCGGGCTCGGCTCAGTCGTGGCCCTCCGCTGTGGGTGGCGCGACGGCCGGTCAGCTAGGTCGCCGGGAGCGCGGCGGGGGAGCAGGAGGGGGAGCAGCCGTCGGCGCGGCGTCCCAGTTCACACCGCCGACCGACCAGCACCGGTGCCAGCGGAGCTCTGGCCGGCAGGGCTCGGATGGTACACACCAGGACAACAGACAGGGACAGACGGCAGGTGGTGACGACGGCTGGCGTGTCCCGGTGCGCCGACGCCGGCGATCAGTTCGAGCCGGCCTCGGGAGGACGGGAGGCGCGGCACACCGACCGGGTACTCACGGCTCGGTTCGGCGGCGAGGGCCACGCGCAACCTCGACGGCGGGCGGGGCGGAAGGCGGCGGCACGCGGACCGGGTACTCACGGCTCGGTTCGGCGGCGAGGGCCACGCGCAACCTCGACGGCGGGCGGGACGGAAGGCGGCGGCCAGGTCAGGACAGGGTGCACGGGCGGTCGGTGTGTCGAGGTCGGAGGTGGACTACGGTGCTAGTTCTTCTTCGTCGCCTCACATCTGACCGTCACAGCGAGCGCAATGACTCATGGAGCGCAGACATCCGCGCATGCGGTCACAGGTACACCAGGCGCGCGCGAGACACCGACACCTCGCTCACGCTGGCGTTTCAGCACTGAATTAAGCGTCAACGTCATACACTTGTCCTCCTGCGGGCCAATTACCGCCACTGCGCCCAGCCGTCGTGGCCTGGCTTCAGCACGCACCACTTCCGCGTGAAGCCAGAGACTGGCGGGCTGGCGGTGCGGCCCCGAGAGCCGCAGGCCCGCCCCGGCCGGCGCCGCGCTGCCAGGCGGCACCGACGCGCGCCCCGCCCGGTCGGAGGCGGCAGCGGCCGCAGCACTCACTCGGCTTTGAGGGCTGTCGGGGCGGCTCGGGCGCCACCGGCCGCTGCGGCATGGCAGAAGGAATGCGGGCCTCGTCGTCCTGAGCCGCCACCTTGTCGTGCGTCAGAACCTGATGCGGACGCGCACTGTGAGCGGCACGGGTCGGCGCCGCCGTCCACACTCACAGCAAGGACCATCAAGGGCGCCGGCGAGGCTGTCACAAGCCTAATCTCGATGCAATTGCGCACAATGTGTGGGAAAGCCGAAAAAGCAGCCGCACTTACAAAATGGCGCTGATACCAAACAACGGAAAAGGGAAGGCACAGGTGTGGCAACGGTGAAATGGCCGGGACAGGGAAGCAGCCACGTAAAGACAGGGCTGTGAGGCCCGGCCGGTGCTCGGTGCTCCCTACCGTGGCCGGGACAGGGAAGCAGCCACGTAAAGACAGGGCTGTGAGGCCCGGCCGGTGCTCGGTGCTCCCTACCGTGGCCGGGACAGGGAAGCAGCCACGTAAAGACAGGGCTGTGAGGCCCGGCCGGTGCTCGGACTCCTTACCGTGGCCGGGACAGGGAAGCAGCCACGTAAAGACAGGGCTGTGAGGCCCGGCCGGTGCTCGGTGCTCCCCACCGAGGCCAGCCTCACTCACCCGCAGCTGAATGGAGAGCACGACCATGGAGTGCCGGCCCGACTCGTGCAGCTTGTAGGGGTGCTCGCTGACCTCCAGCTCCGGCTGGCGGAGCAGGTCCTTAACCTCCAGCTGCAGCATGCCCAGCGACTTGCCCGAGCTCTGGTCCTCCACCTGGTGACGGCAAGAGCCGGAATACACGTCGGGATGATCGCTACAGCTCTGCCGCCAGGCTTCGCCGCCCGCCGGCGACACAAGCGCCCGCTCTGATCAAGGCCCACGGGACGCCCCAACACGCTTAAACGCCACGGTACGAGCATGGACGTTATCACCCAGCATTACTGTCCTTGAATGAGTGTAACGGCTCACTCTCACATCAAAATTTGATGTGATTTGATGTGATAGCAAGGATTCTTCCTACCTATGCTTTTCATTTAATAAAAAAGCCCAAGAAGGAAGGATCCTTTCCGCGCCAGCCAGCGGTGGTGGGCGTTTGGCAGGCGCTCGCTCTGGTTGCCGGACATAGTGCCCACCTCCAGCGTCATGGTCTGCGTCAGCGGGTTCTTGACGAGGAAGCTGAAGCCCCTCCTCCAGACAGGGTCCAGGGTGCGGTACTTGCACGAAGTCACCTCCTTCTGGTTGCCCACCGCCAGCCGCACCAGCGGATTGGGCTCCACCGTCCGCGACGCCATCTGCCGGCGACAGCCGACCTTATGTAGAGCGACACGGCGCCAGTCCAATCATCTGGTTAATAAAAACTCATGGCAGTGTATAATAAAAGATAGTCCCTAGCGAAGCACTTTAATGAATGATTTAATTCCCTGCACAACACTGCTTGAAATTTAAAAAACCGGACTGACAACGGATAAGCGTGCTGATAAAAACAAACCACCGACCGACGTAACGACCGACGTAACAGACAAAAATAAAATGGAAGAACAGCATGCACACAAAAAGCAAAAACAAAAATACAGTAGCCGAAAATGAGATTCACTTTTCATTCCATGTGGTGAGACGTTACGTAACATTTTGAACGGTATTTACACGGTCAGGCTTAACAGAGGCGAGTGGCGAGCACCGCGGGACGCTATCATACGGGTCACGTCACGGCCGTTACCGGAAGCTGTTTTGCCGAGTCGACGAACACGGTCAGCACGGCCGAGTGCAGGCCCGAGTGGTCGAACGCCGACAGGTCCTCGATTTCATTCAGTTGCTGAAACAGTGGCCGGCGTGTCGCGTCACGCCACCGGTCGAGCAGGGTGGGGTTCAGGCGGAGTCAAGGTCAGCGCTGCAGACTCGCCATCCCCTGCAGCACACCGCGCCGGGCACGACAAAGGCGCGTGCCTAATAAAAAAGCAAGACACAACATTGAAGAAAATACAGACGATATGAAACATGCCGCCACCAGCCAACTGGGCACACTCCCAGCTCCGGCTGAATTGAGATCGGCCGTGACCGAGAGCGCCGCGTCTGCCGCCCGCTGGCCGGCATATGCCGCCACCAGCCAACTGGACACACTCCCAGCTCCGGCCGAACTGAGACCGGCCGTGACCGACAGCGCCGCGTCTGCCGCCCGCTGGCCGGCATATGCCGCCACCAGCCAACTGGACACACTCCCAGCTCCGGCCGAACTGAGACCGGCCGTGACCGAGAGCACCGCGTCTGCCATCCGCTGGCCGGCGCCATCACCTTCTTGATGTCGGCCGCGTTAGTGGAGAGACCCAGCCAGTCCAGCTTCATGTGGATCCGGCCGGTGCGCGCCTGCTCCAGCGGCACCCACTGAAATAACGGCCAACGTCTCCTCAGCCTAAAAAAATGGCCATCTGAGCATGAGCACTGACGCCGCGATGGCAGCTGTCGCATGGCGTGACCGACGACGAGCGGTGCACCGGCAGCGACTGAACGAGACTGAACGAGACATCCATCCCAGAGTCGCACGTTTCACCACGCGGCCGGGGCTAACAGCATTCAACCGCCCGGCTGGCAGGCTGCGGCCCGGTCCGCGGAGCCCGGCGCACTCACCACGTCCTGCGATCCGGCCTTGGCGATGTCGGCCACGTCCAGACCGCACCTGGCGGCGCCGACAGCCCCACGTTACACGCGCGCGGCAGCCGGACGGACGGGACAGCACCGCAACTCCGATTCGACAACGTTGCGCAAGGAGCCCGGAACGTTTGAAGTGTACAGCAAAATGATGTGCTCAGGCAACGGTGAAAACGGCGCTATATTCATTGTCATGTCTTAACAGTTAATGCTCAGCATCCACCGTTCGGCATGTTCCTGGACGGAAAACGAAGCATAACATCGCCAAGAGGTTTTAGGACAGCAAGATATCAAGCACGCTGGCTTTACAACTGCAGCAAAAATCGACCTCCTGGAAACACAGCAGAAATCAACTTGTTAGCGCGCATGCAGTGAAGATGAGGTGCGACTCAGTTTAGTGTGCATGCATGTTTAGAGCGGCAGTGAGCTAAGCATACCCGCGGCGGCTGCACGGGTCACCAGCGTCATACTCCAGCGGATCACAAGGGAAGCTCCGACAGAGACCAGCGTTAACGCGTGGACCAGGTCCAGAGGGATAGCAGCCGATGCGCTGATGATTGGCTCTGGACGGGTCCAGGAGGGGTGGCAGCCGACACGCCGGTTGGCTATGGGCGGGTCCAGGAGGCGTATCAGCCGAGGCGCTGGTGGCTATGGGTGGGTCGAGGAGCGGCAGCAGCCGAGGCGCTGGTTGGCTATGGGTGGGTCCAGGAGCGGCAGCAGCCGGGGCACTGGCTGGCTATGGGCGGGTCCAGGAGCGGCAGCAGCCGAGGCGCTGGTTGGCTATGGGTGGGTCCAGGAGCAGCAGCAGCCGAGGCGCTGGTTGGCTATGGGTGGGTCAGGAGCAGCAGCAGCCGGGGCACTGGCTGGCTATGGGCGGGTCCAGGAGCGGCAGCAGCCGAGGCGCTGGTTGGCTATGGGTGGGTCCAGGAGCGGCAGCAGCCGGGACACTGCTGGCTAAGGGCGGGTCCAGGAGCGGCAGAAGCCGAGGCGCTGGTTGCTATGGGCGGGTCCAGGGGCGGCAGCAGCCGGGGCGGCGTACCGTCCGAGCAGCTCGTCAGTCCGGCCCACGGTCGTAGTCGCTACATTATCATCTCTAAGCGGTAATGAGCCTCGCACATGCCCTGGGAGGAGGAAAGGATCCCGGGGTCGAGGTCATGGGACGGGGAAAAGGTCGATGTCTTCCAGGAAAAGGGATCAGAGTGCAAGGGTGAGGTGCCAGGACAACGACCGGAACCACACACGGCGCACAATGTAATGCACAAACGTAGATAGCTAAATCCCCGTCAACAAATAATGAGAAATTCAACACACCCAAATCGCGAAGGACGCTTTCAAGCCCAACAAAATCTCTGGGCACCACAGAAACCATAGCCGAACGCCGACTTCGAGCATCAAACGTCAAACGCAAAGCCAAAAAACTCCTGTCAAACAAGTCCACAAAACATCGAACACCACCAGTTTCAGCTGATGCAAAAACAAAAGCAAATAACCAGACGCCACGACAGGGCGCCACCATCTGCCAGTGAGCAGCAAAGAGCAAGCTCGCCCGACCAAGCCGTCGCGTGGGCGGCCGGGACGGCCCGGCGGGGACGGGGCGGGCGCCGGGGCGGCCGACCCGGGTCAGGCGGGCCACCGCCCGGGCCAGGCCTGATCCAGCGCCGACCTCGTAATGGTAGAAGCTCCGTGCACGGTGTGCCGAGCTCGTGATGCCCCTGTCTGCCGAGCCCACTCCCCACACCCACCGCCGGCCGGCCGAGCCCGCTCCGCACACCCATCGCCGGCCGGCCGACCCCGCTTTGTACACGCACGGCCGGTCGACCGACCCCGCTTTTTACACGCACGGCCGGTCGACCGACCTTGCCCCTAGGTCCAGCCGGTGCACCCCGTGCCGTCCCCGAGCGAGGCCGCCGGCACCCGCTGCCGCGCCGGCCGCCGCGCATGCGCCGGGCGGCCGGCGCCGGCCGCCGCCTGACCTGCCCAGGAAATCGTCCTTGGCCAGACTGCTGGCGTCCCAGTCCCAAAGATCGAGCCGCAGCTGGATGCCATCGAACTCGAGCAAGTGCGTCTGTCAGGCAAGACTGCAGCGTCAGACCAGATACGGTCGCCGCCACTGTCGGCTAGGCGGCACGACGAAACAGTGCAGCGGCTGAGCGGGCCCCACACACTGCTGCTGCGGACAGGACGGAGTCACGGCGGCCGAGCGCGCGCGCTCCAGTTCGTCGACACTGCACCAGGAGACCGGTGACGCACGGAACAGGCGGCGAGGGTCAGCCACCCGCACCCACACGCAGCACAGCCACAAGCAAAACGCAACGACGCTGGCCCACATACGGTCAACCCGCCGCGCGCCAAAACCGCTGCATGCTTCGAAGCGCGAACATGTAACGGATGAAAATATAAAGCTCATGATCAGGCACCGCCTCGCGCCACGCACACGCGCACTGTGCACGCACACGAGTCACGGCCAGTGGATATTTGTTATGTACACCGCACAATGTATGACTGAAGCGAAAGCCGGAGAAACAGTTCATCGAGCCCAGAGGGTCCGACACACAACGATTGAGGGCCACCCAACGACAATCCCAGTGTCACCTGAGATTGTCCCCGCGCTAGGCAAAAAGCATCGATCAGACATAGTTGCGGGCACCAACGAAGCCGTCCTCAGATAAGATGGACGGCGTGCCGTAGGCTGCCGGCCAGCTTGTGATACCGCACCATCTACGAACGTGAGCACGCATCGAGAGCTCACGTTTGGAGCGCATGCAGCACGATAGCCTTTCAATATAGGCATCGCAGAACGTAAGCAACTTAGAGCGACGATGATGGGACCCAAACTTAAGCATGCCACCCCAAACCACGCAGGCAGCCATGGGGATCCTCCCCCTCCCTCCCGTCGAGCCAAGCGGTGTACACTAGATGTTGGGAGATTGCGTAGGCATATGGTTCATTTTCGCGTGAGTTCGGGCACAATTTGATATTTTCTCGCGCGCTCTGACTACGTGCCTGTTGCAATGCCACCAACTATGGATAGTTCATGCCAGTAGAGAAACACCAGCAGCAGTGCGCGAGGACACCGAGTAATCTCAATATCATGTCGGCCAGGTCATCCGGGGTAAACCGCCTACGCCCACAACTTAAATAAAGTTGTTTGATTGATTCCGCCGTATATCGCCCAACAATACTCGCAACTCTCATCCACTGCAGCCCAATGCTGACTCGTTCCACCTCTGAGAAGACGAGGACTGTGACTGCTTGAGTCATCAACCGGTGGTGATAAAAACGGCCGTGGCTCCTGTCGACTTACGATCCCAAATCAAATCTCCGTTCAGGAGGCTCCCGTCGGCAAATGCTAAAGCAATACAAAGCAAATTACGTCGACACGCCCCAAAGTCGGCAACAAAACATCGGAACCCAGCGACATCATGCCACGCCATTGCATTCTCACCAGCCAATCGTCGTCACAGGCAGACACGGCGAAGCGCAGCACAGTTACACTCTCTCCCAGATGCACGTCACGGCCCCGAAACAAAACATTCCACGTCGAGCTGAACAGGCACACCCAGTCGCCCCGTACGTCCGACAGAGGCGGAACCCGGACCAGCCAGGCCGGAGCCACGCGACGAGAGACCAGACCCGCCTGGCGGCTGGGCCGCGTTACCTGCCCAACGCATCATCATCAGCCGGGCCACGGTCGTAGTCGGACAGTGTCAGCTCCAGCCGCGTGCCCGTCGGGTGCTCCAGCACGGTCTGGGTGCGGGTAGAGCGCTCAGGCGGGGCGGGGCAGAGTGGGCGGGACAGGGCAGGGCAAGGCAGGGCCAGGGCAGGGGGGCGGGGCGGGGGGGGGGCGGGGCGGGGCGGGGGGGGGGCGGGGGGGGGGGGGGGGGGGGGGGGACAGGCGCAGCCCGCCATTGGCAGCGAGGTAGGGTAGTGTCGTAGGCCGCCGGACCGTGGTCGTAGCAGCCAGGCTGAGGCTAGCTGGTGTTATTGGGGGAATTTGGACCGCAGCAGGTGGAGCGTCCGCCTGATCACCGATTAGCGCGCAGAGGGGGGCAAATCGAGAGCCGAGAGAGACAGACATCGAGAGAAGACTGCAGAAGCTCCGGGGCAGAGCGTGAGAGACAGAGGCAGAGGGCGGGAGGGGGTGAGCCGTCCGCGCCGT